GAAGAACTAAAAATCAAATTGGTGTGGCCTGAAGACAAGCTTTTGTATTTGAAATTTCCTACATGAGGCGTTTGCCTTAATGAAGTTACAGCCCTGTAATAAAAGGGAGGTAAATGTTCCTGAGACAATATACCTCAAGTTGAATGAAACCCATTTTCAGACATTTCAAGTACATTAATATTTATACATTGTATTATTAAAAGATTTGGGAAGTTTTTCCCGAAAAAATATGAAAAAAAGACGAATTTTGGAAGAATCTGCTGCCATCTCATACTTAAGAATAGCATTTATTATAAAATGGCTTAAAAGACCTGCTGAGTTATTTATTTTCAATACATCGTAAGTCAGGTTATTTATTTTCAAACTACCCCAGAACAAACCATTTATTTTTGTTATTATCAAGGCTGAGTTATTTATTTTCATAATCCTCCTCCCCCCCTCCCCCCAGACTACCAAATAGTCGTCCCCTTATACCACTATCAATCAACAGAACAAATGCAAATAATTATGATGTCTTGAAAGGTTTTTGAATACATTGTAGATCCTATCAATATAAACTGTATTGCAATATAAACATGTTGGGCCCTTTTACAGCCGACTAAACGGTATGGGTTTTCTCATTTTTGGAGGCCGTATGGTTGCCTATAATTGCTTACATGCACTTTATTTGAACTTTGGTGAATAGTTGTTATTTATATAAATAAATCCCACGTCGATATTACAACAATCAGACATCAACCCAAGGCCAAACAATGTAATTGAAAGACATCTAGAGGTCAATATACAGTCTCGAACAATAGACAAAATTAAAAAAAAAATACAGCGAATTATTGAAAAGAATTATTATTACATGTATTTGCAAGATTTAAAATATTATATCTTTCACAATTTCATTGTGGCTAGTCTGTAAAAAGGATGTCAATTAGAGAGGCCAATACTTTTCGGACATTGATTTGAAAACGACAAATAGACGTCTACTAGAGGGGTATTTGATTGGTCGTTAGATCTGAAATCTTATTTTATTATGAAGTCAGATGTGGACATCGACTTGAGGAATGGAGGTCGATTAGAGACCGGCCGTCAATCTGAGTCTTCTATATGTATACATATATTATTGATTCAGTTGTGATGGTAAATAGACACTGATAAGTCTGATAACATTTTATAGTTTTGAATATTTGTTCACCAGTTTACTATGATTAGGTGGAAGTATGTTCTTATTTCAAACAGAAGGGCACTCAGCCTATATCAATTTGTGCATGAAGCGATTGTTTCAGATATAAATAAATTCATTTAGTTTATGATGTCCATCGATGCAAAACATGTTCACAAACCTGTCAAATTTACAATTTTCTTTAAGAACTATCAGCAAGCCGAGACAGTAAATAATAAAGTACAAAACTGCTGTGTACTTCTGTATAATATTTAATGCAAATTGAACCCCATCTTAAAGTGTAATTTCTTCTCCCTTTCTGTAACTTTACGCATTAAACATGGATATAATAATGGAAAGGTGTATAGAAATGATAAGGTGGCCGATTTTAAGCATTTTCGTTACTTATGCCAAAATGAGAACGCTTGAAATACCCGCCTCTGTACGCAAGCCAGAGAAAGAAAAGATGGACTCCGTTGTTGGCAAGAACACAAGTATAGAAGAGATGAAATTACAAGGAAGGAACATAGGGACTCGGTTAGCAGATTAAAATTTTGTCCATCAATGTTTTTCAAATCTTTTTTCGTATTTCCTGTCTATTTGCATTATAAACGTTTTAACGTTGGCATCAATATTTCTTTATTTTCTAGCAATGTACAGTTTACTATCCATATCCGTATACTGAAAAACCCTAAAGGGATATAAGTCGCCATTTTGAATAGCATACCCTTCTTTAAATAAAAAATAATTAAAAATATTTCTATGTGACTTTATACCTTACAAAGACACTCATTTCCTTCCTAAATAATTCTTCTATCAGTTCATACATTGGTTTTCCGATCAACGACACCCTTACTCTGCTATCGTTTCATTCAGGTCAAATTATTCAAATTTCCCGGCGAAAGCAACGTAACTGGCAAACGTGTCGTTTTTCAATAACATAGACGAAATGTGAGATAACTCTGTCATTCGGAAACTTCCGGGTTGATGCGTTTATCACAAGGATATTTCCTCATAGACTGACTAGTGCTATCCCCTGACATAAATATCGAACGCAAATTTCTTAGTAAATAAAAATTTAAGAGCAAACGAATAAATCCTGTCTGCAAACGGGGGTAACATAACTCACTGGTTTCTTGGTATACATTTATCAATAAAATCGAGTAGTTACTGAAACATATTGACGTGATCAAGGATTTATCAGGTTCAGATTCAGGATTTTGAAAATGAGGGGGCCAGGCTGGTAAGCGGGCAACTTTTGGATTGATACTTTGAAAAAGTCTATGCATTTATCATATCTGCATGTATGAGTGATGATTTTCTAAAAAGTGTTTGAAATTTCACAGTGATATCATACTTTGTTTAAACCTGTTTATTTACTTTTGACTTTAATTAATTATCCCTTGTAATTTTTTATTAACTGTGTATTTGCATTCAGGTGTCACAGGTCGAATTTATTCGTTCATTCTCATTGGCTCTCATACCACATCTTCCTATATCTATTGTGTGTTAATTTACGTTTTTTGATTGAGTTAAGCCTTCCAATTGATATTTTATAGTGTGTTTTCAGTTGTCGTCTGTTTATGTAGTTCATACATGTTTCTCGTTTCTCGTTTTTATATAGATTAGACCGTTGGTTTTTCCTTTTGAATGGTTTTACACTAGTAATTTTTTGGGCGCCCTTTATAGCTTGCTGTTCGGTGTGAGCCAATGCTCCGTGTTGAAGGCCGTACCTTGACCTATAATGGTTTACTTTTATAAATTGTAACTTTGATGGAGAGTTGTCTCATTGGCACTCATACCACATCTTCCTATATCTATGAAGCTCCATAAGAGAGAGGCTCCTTGTTCCCCTAAATCCGCCTCTGTTTATACACTACATAAATCCTTGATGTGGAAATATCTGGACGATGTCTGACAGAAAGTAACATTCCTTTATGAAAAAACTGATAGTTTGGGGACAATCATTTGATATTTTCAGGGGGGAGGGGGGGGGGAGGATAATCTGACATTGCAACTACACATGCAATGATTCTTTGGAAGAAATTTGCGTTCGATATTTGTGAAGGATTCTTAACTTGTAAATATTTTTATCAGTCTTAAATCTGATCGATTGAGCGTAGGTACAAAATGTATCAAGTCAGGGGACAGTACTCGTCAGTCTATGAGGAATTATCGTTGTAATAAACGCATCAACCCGGAAGTTTCCGAATCACAGAGTTATTTCCCATTTCGTCTATGTTATTGAAAAACGACACGTTTGCCAGTTACGTTGCTTTCGCCGGGAAATTTGAATAATTTGACCTGATTGAAACGATAGCCGAGTAAGGGTGTCGTTGATCAGAAAACCAATGAATGCTTCTGATAGAAGAATCATTTAAGAAGGACATGAGTGTCTTTGTAAGGTATAAAGTCACATAGAAATATTTTTAATTATATTTCATTTAAAGAAGGGTATGTTATTCAAAATGGCGACTTTGATCCCTTTAGGATTTTTCAGTATACGGATATGGATAATAAACTGCACATTACTAGAAAACAAAGAAATATTGATGCCAACGTTAAAAACGTTAATAATGTAATACAAAGACAGGAAATACGAAAAAATGATTTGAAAAAATTGATAAACAAAATTTTATTCTGCTAACCGAGTCCCTGTGGGAAGGAATACATCAGATGTGAAGCATATAAATATTCGGCAAGAACAGATTTATAATTCATTGTATTCCGTTTTTATGAATTTTAATGTTGTGCTTTTGAAAGCTGTAAATAGGTTTTTACTCCGTGATTTTAGTGGGTGTAAACATAGTGCTTATATCTTTTAAATTGACTTATCCTGCTCGAAATCCTACCTCCACCTCCCCGTTGAGCAGGGGAAAACAGTTATATACATGTTATAATCGACAATTCATAACATTTTGACATCTTGCTAAAGGAAGAGTTTTATAATGATAAATAAAAAAATAATATTCACCTGTAATTTACCTGTACACAATCGGCGCTAGTAAAAGAAAAAATTGGCGCAAGTGAAATGCAGATTGGCGCAAATACAAAACGCCAGATTAGGTAGAACTATGTAGTCGACACTAGGGATTAAATTAAATTAAAGGCGATAATTGTGGTCTCCGTTCAGCACAAGTATTCTTTAACAAATTCTTTTCTAACAGTGGTCTAACTCAGGTTCATTATAACCTTTTTGAATAATGTCCGGTCGAGTTTACACCACACAATTTATTCTCATATCAGACAAAATGTGAAATTGGAAAAGTTTTAAAGCCTGATGGGACCTAGATAAGTAAAAGTTAAATGCATTTAGTGTTTAAAAATTGAACAAAGGAATTGCAAAATAAACCAATTTTCATTAAAATCTTTGACATGTTCCCCTCAGGTAAAAACTTTATTATGGTGTACAGTGATGTGGAAAATCTCCCGGTTTTGGTGGGGTAAGTGTTGCTCAGTTTTTAGTTCTATGTAGTGTTTTGTAAACTGTTGCCTGTCTTTAGGTGGCTTTTCGTTTTTGTCATGGTTTGGTCGATATTTATCGATCTATAACTTTTGGCATCTTCTGCCTTTTCTTTCAAGATTGATTTTGTGAAGTTAATCTATTATTTTTCTCTGTTAGGTCGCTTTTTTTGGAGTATCGTTAATTTATTTAAATCTCCAATAACATCGATCTGAACGTATCTTTATACGATCTCTCTCTATATTTTTATTCTACTTACAATAGCATGATGTGGATTTTTTTTTTAAATTAAAACTCAAATATATGTAAGTTAGGTCTTCCTGGAAATCTCGAATCGGTCACTTTTTGCAATAGCAGCATATAATTAATTACTTATTAACATACCTCCTAAATCTACGACCAGAAAACGTGACCCAGGACTAAACGAACCAAGTTTCGTGTTTTGACCCGTATCTTTCTTCTGTATCTCCAAGCTTTTACAGCATAAAGCGGCAGCCTCTGGCTCTAGTGCGAGTGTAAGATTGTCTTCGTGAATTCCACCCTATTTTGATATAACTTTTAATTAAACTTTCTATAATGATATGGCATGACGAAATTGTTTCCTCGCGCGCCAACTGAGTTTTTTTTTTTTTGTTTTATTTTGTCTCAGAAAATGTTTTTGTTTGATAATTTTATCATCCATTACGTTTTACAATAAACGTTTTGGAAACAACATGTAGCACCCATTTAAGGGTACCAAACACCAAAAAGGGATTAAAAAGTAGTCAATAACTTCTATGGTCAACTTAGCAATCAGAGTTACAATGAATCAGTTGATAATTAAACAAATTCACCATAACAATTTATCGAGACTATAGTTACAGACCGGATGATACCCTCAGGTAAGGACTGACCAGAGGAGGGACGACATTCTACACACGGCACGCATATTTGTCTTATATTATCGATGGTTGCAGTGAAAATATGTCATTAATCAAAAGCACTTCGTGGTGTGAACATCACCTGGACATTCGAAGTTTGTTGAACGAGATAATAAACATTTATTTTGCAGTAATATACAGAAGTTATGATTATGCAATCTACTTACACGTGTATACGAAATAAACGCATATGTTAATTGCCGGGAATATACATATTCGTATCCCCATATTGAACTGCTAATTAAGGGGCTTATTTCGCACTAATTCGACATGGATATTCCCAAAATAATCATCCAGTGACTTTATTTGTGTGATTTTCATTTTTAATTCGATACAAAATATAATTAATTTCTTTTATAAAATTATAATTATTTGGATTCTATCGCCATTTCCCAGTACACAAAATCAAGATACCTCAGTGCAAACTGTTAAGCCGTCCAATATCATCTAAATTACTCATTCATTGGTTTTAACTTTTGGTTTTTAATTCTAATCGGTATAAACAAAAAATTAGAAAAATTAGAAAACCGGAACACTTTCGTCCAATACACAAATAATCGACATAATACAAAAATTAAAACCTATTTTACATTTTTTTTTCGGATCGCCAAATTTTCTTTTAATATTAAATATCACTGAAATACACAAAACAAAGGGTTTGTGTTCCTTAGGTTAACGTATTTATTAACGACTTTGACCAGTTTGAGGAAATTTCATTGAAAACCCCAAACCGGAAGCAGACAATTGTTCCTTTTTAGCGAATATACAGCAATGAGTCGAGACTTAAGGAGGCCTTTCGGAATTTTTGAAATGGTTACAAAAAATATGTGCCATGTATTATACAAGAGATCGAATGAAAATAACCGCCAATACGGGACAGCTTCATTTATAATAAAATGTACCCCTGAAAAGTAAAAATAAAGTAACATTTGATGTGAAAGTGGTCTTCGGTCGCCAATACATATATGTGAAAATTTTCTATAATTTCCATTCATGCAAAAGAGTACATTCGAAATCGATCTTTTCTCGTATTTAAGATTGATGAAGGGACGCTTAAATCGTAACACACAGCACCTACGCTGTCGCCCCTCCTCTAGGGACTGGACTGGACTGACAGTCTTACAGCAGCGGCACCGACTTATTGTATAAGGTATGCTAGATATTAAAAGTTTAGGAAGTCAGATAGGATTTGTACAACGTAACCGATAAGAGATATATACGAAAAATATCTTATAGAAAGATAAATATTTCGGCAAATCAATTGGACTTTTTAGAGCATATCTTTTTGTTAAGTGTGAATGAACTATCTTTATAAGACACTGTTTGTTGAAAGTCTTGAACTTCATTGTTAAACCAAAATTAAATATATTATGACGGATCATTAGTGCCAATCAAATAAGAATATTAATCAAAAGGTAAAACTAGGCACCTTGCCTTTTCATAGATAACTTTCCAGATTTCAGTTACACATAGATAATCAGATTAAAGAAATCTTTCATACAGAATGGAAAGAGCTCTTGCGCAACCGCAAAAGGATCAATCCATAATGTTTAAACAAGCTGACAAAGGCGGACCCATTGTGATAATTGCTAACATGTACTACAAAAGACAAAAGTATGGAACAGTTAAATTACCATAATTTCTTTCGGGAAATTGAGAAAAATATCGGACCCATTGAGATAATTGCTAAAATGTACAACACAAGACAAAATGGACAGTTAAATGACTATAATTTCTATCGGGAAATTGAAAAAAATATCGGACCCATTGAGATAATTGCTCACTTGTATTACAAAAGACAAAAGTATGGAACAGTTAAATGACAATAATTTCTATCTGGAAATTGAGAAAAATATCGAACCATTTGTGATAACTGCTAACATGTACTACAAAAGACAAAAGTATGGAACATTCAAATGACCATAATATCTATCGGGGAACTGGGAAAAATATCGGACCCGTTGAGATAATTGCTCACATGTACTACAAAAGACAAAAGTGTGAAACAGTTAAATGACCATAATTTCTTTCGAGAAATTGAGAAAAATATCGGACCATTTGTGATAATAGCTAACATGTACTACAAAAGTGAAAAGTATGGACAGTTAAATGACCATAATTTATATCGGGAAATTGAAAAAAATATCGGACCCATTGAGATTATTGCTCACATGTACTACAAAAGACAAAAGTATGGAACAGATAAATGACCATAATTTCTATCGGGAAATTGGGGAAAATATTGGACCTATTGAGATAATTGCTTACATGTACTTCAAAAGACAAAGTATGGAACAGTCAAATGACCATAATTTCTATCGGGAAATTGAGAAAAATATGGACTTGGAAACTATAATGATTAATTATAAACATGGAGAAATAATAGAACTAACACACATTCAAAACTGTTATTATTGTTTATACATAATTCTAAAATCTAAAATATGCCTTCCACGAAAAATTCAGCTTAATGGCCTTGACTTCAAAATACAATAGTATGGAACTGTTAAATGACCATAATTTCTATCGGGGAAATTGAGAAAAATATCGGACCCATTGGGATAATTGCTAACATGTACTACAAAGGACAAAAGTATGGAACAGTTAAATGACCATAATTTCCCTCGGGAAGTTGAGAAAAATATCGGACCCATTGAGATAATTGCTAACATGTACAACAATAGACAAAAGTATGGAACTGTTACAGTTAAATGACCATAATTCCTATCGGGAAATTGAAAACAATATCGGACCCATTGAGATAATTGCTTACATGTACTACAAAAGACAAAAGTATGGAATAGTTAAATGAATATAATTTCTATCGGGAAATTGAGAAAAATATCGGACTCATGCCGATAATTGCTAACATGAACTACATAAGACAAAAGTCTGGAACAGTTAAATGACCATAATTTCTAACGGGAAATTGAGAAAAATATTGGACCTATGGAGATATTTGCTAACATGTACTTCAAAAGACAAAAGTATGAAACAGTTAAATGACTATAATTTCTATCGGGAAATTGAGAAAAATATGGACTTAGAAACTATAATGATTAATTATAAACATGGAGAAATAATAGAACTAACACACATTCAAAACTGTAACTATTGTTAATACTTAATTATTTTATCTAAAATATGCCTTTCACGAAAAATTCAGCTTACTGGCCTTTACTTCCTCAAAACTAAAACTGTTCTCAATCATGATCAGAGAGCTGCTCTTATTTACGCCATTAAGAAGTGTTTCTTACATTTTTTACCATAGAACAAGTTTTTACATTTCTACCTTAGAACAAGTTCTTATAGTTCTACCCTAAACGTTTTTGATTATTTCTATTGTAGAACTGATGACAGTTAAACGTTAGAACAGTTTTAGACAGTTCTACCCTAAAACTGATTCTGACTATTCTACCGTAGAACAGTTTAGAAATTCTATAACAGATTATTCTGACAATTCGAAAGAGAAGTTAAACTGGTCTCATCTGAAGAATCCAAAGACACAAATAACATAAAAGAGATCTTGTATAATTTAATGGGTAACCACCGGTACAAAACTGTCATATGGTCTTTAGTGTGTAAATTATTTGTAAGTTACTTGTACATGTACCTTTTCAGCGGCTTCTATCATAAACTGTCGTGCAGCTTCTGTCCATATTGCTGGTACCGTAAGCACCCAATGAATGTCCTCTTCTTCGAGATTTAAAATAAGCTGCTTAACTCTTGTGAAGGTAGCATTTTTCAAGTATTCAATGCAAGCAGCAAATACATCCACTGCTTTCATTTCTTTACCACTTATATCTTTAATTGTCAATGATTTCTTCAAATTCTGAAATCAGTAAGTACACGCAAAGCATATATCATGTCTATATATCATTTAAAATAAAATGAACATTTATGAATTTATTTCTGTCATCATTAATCACTTTATTTCATTACTGAAACATGTTGCCTCGCTGTTTTGGAAAGGGCAAGGATCTGTATTAGTCACTCACTGTTCAAAATGAAAACCTGACAAGAATTCATTGCCAAATTCATCTTTACCTTTCATTGTCACGTTTTCCGTCAAATATCTTGATTAAACCCCGTCATTATCCGTTTTTCCTATTTTGTTTTATTTTTTTGCTTTTCTTTTGCTATATCGGACTCATTTTTTGACCATCATTTAGAAATTGATAATGAGGGTCGGTTGAGAACAAAACTTTACGATAAAAGAGACTATTTCAGCTTTCAAATTGTGAACTTTCGATTTATATGCAACCACATTCCAGAATCGTCTGCAATTGAAATATATATCCGTCTGTTAATTCGATATTCCAGAGCTTGCGCTTCCTATCATAGTTTCCTTGATAGAGATGAACTGCTTACAAAGAAGCTATTGAAGAAAGAATTCCAAATGGTACAGTTGAAGGCGTTACATCGAAAGTTTTACAAATGCCACCGGTAGTTGATTGACTGTTATAAAAATATGTGTCACAGATGAACACGGATATATTCCAATTGTATTAGTCATAATCTCATCTATTCCTCAATAGTGACATCACCAAATGAGACTGATCATCTAATTGCTCCTACCTTGAACAACACGACAGATGCCGCATGAGATCAACCCCTGTTTTTATGGGGTTCGTGTTGCTCAGTCTTTAATTTTCAATGTAATTGTTTTGGTTGACTGATGTTTGTCTTTTCGTAGTTTTCGTTTTTTCCCAGGATCTTGTCAGTTTCTCTTCGACTCGTGAATTGTGATGGTCCCTTTGTGTCTTCAGCACCTTTTTGTATGATTGAGAAGACTTGTTTCGAAGGACGAATGACATAATGTGTAGGGAAAACTATCTGTTTTACACGCAATTGACTGATTACTCAGGCACATGTTCCTTAAAGAAATGTGTGACAGTTATCGAAGTGAATGCTTGGTCTTAATGTAAGGCGTGGTCCTTTCTATCATCAAATATGAGGTACCTTGTATAAAGACTAAATCTGTATCGTTTTAACGTATAGAACGGGTTTTTAATGCTTTTGGTTTTGTACTTTCCTTAATCTTCAGATAATTTTTTTCATCGTCACATAAGAAACAATCCTCCAACGTGTTGTAGTAAAAAGTTGAATACAATGAAATGGGATTTAGTTATTATATGAACTAAAACATTTGAAACATTGTGGTAGGCTTAAGAAAATACTACAATAAAAATAAATATTTCTTCAGGATTTTTTTTTCTAGATGTATGTATTAATATTACAACTTACCCTATTGTTGTAAAGTTGCATTTTGAATCGAGTGAAGTAATAACACTGATTTGCATACTGTGGCTTGGTTAGTGTTAGTCTTGTATACTTGTCTTCGGCTTCATTACCAAAAGCATCAAAACTTCTATCGGGTTTCAAAAGCAGAACAGTTGGAACTTTTGATGACATATTATTGGTTGTTGGAATTCCTCCCATTACACATATGTTTAGTGGGTTTGTGGTGAAATCAGACTTTGATGAAAATGCAGTTCCAGAATATGCTGATCCAATGTCAATGGCTGCAACCATGGTGTAATTTCTATATTAAAAATGTATTAAGTTTGATTAATTGCATTTATATTTATTCTTGTAGGCCTTAACATCGCAATGATGTCCTATGTTCATTCATTTTAATTTGGATGCAAAAACTTATTTAAAAAAGTGTACGAATTACCTGCATTCAAAGCATCAAGCAGAGAACCTAACTATTTTTACTGAACGATAAATATTATGGTATTCAACCAATGAAAAATAAAATGCTCTGCGTGGCGCGACTTGATACAACCGCAGAGGTTGAACCATGAACAGTTGGGGTAAGTATGGACACTACATGCAAGCTTGATAAAGCTCTGAACTTGGATTGTGATTAAATATTTGACACAGCATACATTTCTGACACAGAATGAATGTGGTCAAAGAAGTGAAAAATTTTAAATTAGACTTTTACCTGTTTTTTGTACAATATCCAAAATCTAAAAACACGGTTAGATTCAGCATTTCCAAGTACACCAATGATTTAATTTATTTATTAATTGACAATATATTAAGTGTTTAAAGCGGTTCTCTTCATCATATTTTTCTTTTATATATAGCATTCTGAAAATTAATTTATACAGAAGAACAAACAATCTACATGAACCACGAAGTTCTTCAAAATATTTACACAAAAAATAAAAAAAAAAACAATTTCAAAATATCATTCATCATTAATACAATGTCTTTAAAAAAATATTTTTGAAAAAAAAAATAATAATAAAAAGTAAATTTCAAACTATATATATATATGGCAGTCAGCAGGGTTTAAGAACATCCGTTGTTCGACCTGTTAGTCAAATGCGTTTTGTTTAAATATACTTTTTCACTTTTTTGGTCTTTTGGAAAATGTTGTTTGTGCTTTAGTTTATTTGAACCCTTCTACCAGAAATTTGTTTTGCATATAAAAATTGCGGTTTTTATCCAACGCAATCATAGGTTTGAACGTTGTTTTCAATTTAGACTTATTTATATTTTTTCGTTTGGGCTTGTATTATATTTGCCTTCGGGTTAATATGATCCGGTCATCCTATTTCGACTCTTCAAATTTCAAGAGTCTATCCTAAATTGAGGTAAATTATATATATATATAACCAAGTCTAAATTGAAAACAACGTTCAAACCTATGATTGCGTTGGATAAAAACCGCAAATTTTACACGTGTGCATGCAAAACAAATTTCTTGTTAGAGGGGTCTAAATACAGCACAAACAACATTTTCCAAAAGTTAAACCCTGCTGACTGCCATAGGAGATTGCCAAATAAACGGATCACAAGATGTAACAAAATGGATCGAAACGGTATTTAGAAGGCCATATAATTTACCTCAATTTAGGATAGACTCTTGAATTTTGAAGAGTCGAAATAGGATGAACGGATCATATTAACCCGAAGGCAAATATAATACAAGCCCAAACGAAAAAGTATAAACAAGTCTAAATTGAAAACAACGTTCAAACCTATGATTGCGTTGGATAAAAACCGCATTTTTTATACGTATATATATATATAGATTATAACAAGGCATTTTTCATATCAAACCCCTTATCAGCCCTATGTCATGATATCACCCGAGAGCCGACAGTTGAAATTGAAAACAACGTTCAAACCTATGATTGCGTTTGATAAAAACCGCAATTTTTATACGTGTGCATGCAAAACAGATTTCTTGGTAGAGGGGTCTAAATACAGCACAAACAACATTTTCCAAAAGACCAAAAAAGTGAAAAAGTATATTTATACAAAACGCATTTGACTAACAGGTCGAACAACGGATGTTCTTAAACCATGCTGACTGCCATTGGCGATTGCCAAATAAACGGATCACAAGATGTTACAATAAGGATCTTAATTTTTAATTTAATACCAAACAGAAAACAATAAACTTGCGGAAAAGATGGTATACCGCAAACATGAGGTGTAAAATTTTGTACACCATATCCGGATTTCGACAATTAATGTCTTTTCAGTGATGTTAGGAACCGAAACGGTATTTGGAAAGCCATATGATTTACCTCAATTTAGGATAGACTCTTGAATTTTGAAGAGTCGAAATAGGATGAATAGATCATATAAACCCGAAGGCAAATATAATACAAGCCTTAATGAAAAAATATAAATAAGTCTTAATTGAAAACAACGTTCAAACCTTTGATTGAGTTGGATAAAAACCGCAATTTTTATACGTGTGCATGCACAACAGATTTCTTGGTAGAGGGGTCTAAATACAGCACAAACAATATTTTCCAAAAGACCAAAAAAGTGAAAAAGTATATTTAAACAAAACGCATTTGACTAACAGTCGAACAACGGATGTTCTCAAACCCTGCTGACTGCCATTGGCGATTGCCAAATAAACGGATCACAAGATGTAACAAAATGGATCTTTATTATTAATTTAATAACAAACAGAAAATAATAAACTTGCGGAAAAGATGGTATACTGCAAACATGAGGTGCAAAAATTTGTACATCATATCCGGATTTCGACAATTAATGTCTGTTCAGTGATGTTAGGAATCGAAACGATATTTGGAAGGCCATATAATTTACCTCAATTTAGGATAGACTCTTGAATTTTGAAGAGTCGAAATAGGATTAACGGATCATATAAACCCGAAGGCAAATATAATACCAGCCCAAACGAAAAAATATAAATAAGTCTAAATTGAAAACAACGTTCAAACCTATGATTGCTTTGGATAAAAACCGCAATTTTTATATGCAAAACAAATTTCTGGTAGAGGGGTCTAAATACAGCACAAACAACATTTTCCAAAAGACCAAAAAGTGAAAAAGTATATTTAAACAAAACGCATTTGACTAACAGTCGAACAACGGATGTTCTCAAACCCTGCTGACTGCCATTGGCGATTGCCAAATAAACGGATCACAAGATGTAACAAAATGGATCTTTATTATTAATTTAATACCAAACAGAAAACAATAAACTTGCGGAAAAGATGGTAAACCGCAAACATGAGGTGTAAAAATTTGTACACCATATCCGGATTTCGACAATTAATGTCTCTTCAGTGATGTTAGGAATCGAAACGGTATTTGGAAGGCCATATAATTTACCTTAATTTAGGATAGACTCTTGAATTTTGAAGAGTCGAAATAGGATGAACGGATCATATAAACACGAAGGCAAATATAATACAAGCCCAAACGAAAAAATATAAATACGTCTAAATTGAAAATAACGTTCAAACCTATGATTGCTTTGGATAAAAACCGCAAATTTTATACGTGTGCATGCAAAACAGATTTCTTGGTAGAGGGGTCTAAATACAGCACAAACAACATTTTCCAAAAGACCAAAAAAGTGAAAAAGTATATTTAAACAAAATGCATTTGACTAACAGTCGAACAACGGATGTTCTCAAACCCTGCTGACTGCCATTGGCGATTGCCAAATAAACGGATCACAAGATGTAACAAAATGGATCTTTATTATTAATTTAATACCAAACAGAAAACAATAAACTTGCGGAAAAGATGGTAAACCGCAAACATGAGGTGTAAAAATTTATACACCATATCCGGATTTCGACAATTAATGTTTCTCAGTGATGTTAGGAATCGAAACGGTATTTGGAAGGCCATATAATTTACCTCAATTTAGAATAGACTCTGGAATTTTGAAGAGTCGAAATAGGATATATGTATATAATTATTCTCTAAAATTCGAATTTGATGCTGTATCTATTTTCAACTATGATTCTACTTCTATCAATTGTGCGATACAGTTCTGAATTTGTATTGGTATCAAATATTTGACATAGCACAGGTTTCTGACACAAATTGAATATGGTCTAAAAACTTAAAATTTGAAATTGAACCGTACTTTGAACTATAATGGTTTGGTCCAATATCCAAAATCTAATCTATCTTCCATGTTAAGCAACGAAAAAATCTAAATACACGGTTAGATTTAACATATCAAAGACCCCCAAAAGTTCAATTTTTGATGAAATCAAACAATTTAATTCTGGACCATTTGGACCTCAATATGGAACAATTTGATAACGGGGCCAAACACCAAAATCTAAACACATCGTTAGAGTCAGCATATCAAAGAACCCTATATATATATTCAATTTGATCAACATTTATAAAGAACAAGTACACGTCATATGACGACATTTTGAGTCACGAATTTGTAAAGAAAGTCTTATTATACAAATCCTTTTTCGAATTTTTACGAAATTGTGTATGCATTTAGATCTTGTTGTACTGCATCTGTATTTGGAGCATTAACACATAGATTCTAGAGATACAATATATTCATATTTATATAGATAGGACCTAAACATGTTTGGAATGTTCCTATAGATAAAAAGCGACCAAGAAATGCACTAAAATTTTGATTCACAGAATTTGGTTTCGAATGATATCTAAACACTGTGCATCTTTCCGTTTTATTGATATGAAAATATTATAGGGGTCAACAGATTCTTTTTTTCACTGCTAATTATTTAAGTTTGAGTGATGTGTAAAAAAAACATGAAAATTTACGCTATTTCAGTGTGACGCCGTCGTATGTTACGCTTTTAATCTGAAACCCTTTTTTCACTGTACATAATGAGACTATTAATGATTTTTACTGAAAAAAGCAAATCCATTGAATTACCTCAACACAAAATCTGAATTTTACAAAGTGGACTTATTTTGAAACAATAAAAATATAAAAAAAAATTGGAATGAACGTGTTGATGCCTTGAAAAATATCTCAAAACTCAGTTATTTCGGCATCTATATGGAAAAATTAGCACAAAAAAATTAATAATATCAGCAATTATATAAAACTTGCGCACACCATGGGGTATGGTCTGTATATGACCTGTGAGATTAACATGAAAATATATTAACTATGAAAATTTTAACAGAATTCATAATTTGAAACCAGCATTCTAACGGTTTTATGAGCTTATACTAACACTTAAAAAGTTGTTCCAATTCATTGAAATCAACATGGAAAGAGAGAATAAACAACAATCTCTCATGCCTTTTGGTATTAATATGTTTTCAAGTCATAAAAGGGTTCAAAGGACATGTAAACTATTTTAAACCAGGGTAATATGCCTATAGATTTTGCAGAAGAAAAAAATAAGGTTGTTAGAAAGTGGGAAAAAATACACTTTTATATTTCTAAGATTTCCAAAAATACTAAATTAAAGCTTTGTTGGTATTAATATAGAACTATTCACAATATTTTGGATACAAACGCTGTACTTTTTTATTGAACCTTGACAATTGAAAATTATGTACATTTTGCAAGGAATAGCCTGAATATTGTAGAACATTTACTTTGGGGCTGTCATATTGTTGCTGACATTAGGCACAATCTGAATTGTTGGATTTTTGATGTTTAATTCAGAGTTTTTATACTATTATAACGTATTATGCTTATTTATTTCACTTGCTTGCTTATTGTGCCACGGGAAAAATGTATGTGAATACCTTTACACTCATGATAAAAAAGAAATTATGAAAACCTTTTTAATTTAAATGTTAATTCTTTTTATCGACCCCATCATATCAAGCGGATCCATTCTTCACATCGCCAGAAGTATCATTATTTTGTTTCAAAATACAAAATAAAATCCGCAACAATTTTGTTTCAACGAATCTGTCAATCATAACTTGTCAATAACATGACATTACACTATCTGTCGTCAATTTTCTGATAATGCCATGTTGAAGGGAAAACCGTTGATGTGGTTCATAAGTGTTTCTCGTTTCTCGTTTTTTATATAGATTAGACCGTTGGTTTTTTTTGTTTGAATGGTTTTTCACTAGTCATTTTGGGGGCCCTTTATAGCTTGCTGTTCGGTGTGAGCCAAGGCTCCGTGTTGAAGGCCGTACTTTGACTTATAATGGTTTACTTTTACAAATTGTGACTTGGATGGAGAGTTGTCTCATTGGCACTCATACCACATCTTCTTATATCAATACTGCTTTCCACCGAAACATGAAAATAGCTTTCTCTTATTATATCTCATGATTTTCTAACCTTCTTGGCTTAAATGACATAGCCTTAAATTGTTCATGTCTTTTCTTTTCATCAGAGGAAACTTCTGATTGAACAACAATGTGGTTCTCTAGTTCTGTCAAAAAGAAAAGAAATTTAATTCAGTAATATAAATTAATGTCGAACGATGAATATTGAATGGGAATCACTATTTTTCAGATGATTGATGCATACAGCTGATATCTGTTTCTCTTCACATGGAGTGAGAGGGAACCATGGTCCCAGCGAAAGTTCAACTATACCTGTGACTTATGATTTGGAACCGTGAAGGAATTCGTTATAAAATACTGTTTCAGTACCGGTATCAATTAACAATTTCTGGAGTATGAAAAAGTCTTTGTAAGTCTTTGATAAGCTACGATCCTTCGAAAATTGATTTGATGTATCTACCACTTATACTGCACTTCATTAAAGAAAACAATCTTTTTTGAAAATGTTTTTGATAACTCAGGTGTACTTATGTCGTTGTAATTCCCTTTTCAGTAATAAGACTTACAAAAATACACAAAATAAATTGGAAATGCAGAGAAATGATTAAAGCCATGAATGATTTACTTGATAATATCTGTGTTCGGATCGTTTTTGAGATAAGTATACCGATAAGTGATTGGTATTCCGACGGGAACTAACTGTGATAGATGTTATGAATCTATTTATGGCAAAGCTTCATAAACATCCAACAAAACACCACCTAATAGATAGTTTAACAACACAGGCAGATACTTTGATGATATAATATCCGTAAACAATCCTAATTTTTCTAAGTAAACGAATACAATTTATACCATTCTTAATAAATCAGACATTTAAAGTGGCTGATGTCCTTTTGCAGCCCTTGATATTAAAATTTCACATGATAGAATCAATACAAAATCTATGATAAACAGAATTCTTTCATTAATGTTGATGTTTCGTTGTCTTCAATTTACGGAGTATATATCAGTTAGTTCTATATGCGCGTGTTTGTGTCTATGATTTAATTGAATGTAATTAATTAATTACTCAAATTCTTTAACAGCAAGAGTATTATATGCTATTCGGAATCTTCACAGGGGATATGGGCTCATATCAGTTTTTTTATATCTCCTTATGCGCCAGACGAAGGAGATATAGGGCGCGGACAGGGAATATGAGACCATATCCCATGTGAAGCCCGAAAAACAATCACTAGTATATTATACTGGAGTGTCCTGGTTTCAACACTAATTCCCATTTCTAGCCCACATGGCCCAGAGGGCCAAGTGAGCTTTCCTCATCACTTGGCGTCCGTCGTCGTCGTCGTCGTCGTTAACTTTTACGAAAATCTTCTCCTCTGAAACTACTTGGCCAAATTAAACCAAGCTTGGCCGAAATCATCCTTAGGGTATCTAGTTAAAAAATGTATCCGATAACTCCGCTCATCAACCAAGATGGCCGCCATGGCTAAAATAGAACATTGGGGTAAAATGCAGTTTTTGGCTTATATCTCTGAAATTAAAGCATATAGAGCAAATCTAACGGGGTTAAAATGTTCATCAGGTCAACATGACCAAAATTGTTAATTGACCCCTTAAGGAGTTATTGCCCTTTAAAGTCAATTTTTCGTAAATTTTTTTAATCTTTTACAAAAATCGTCTCCTCTTAATCTTCTTGGCCAAATGGAATTAAACTTAGCCACAATTATTATTAGAGTATCTTGATTGAAAAATGTATCCGATGACCCTGCCGTACAACCAACATGGTCCCCATTGGTAAGAATAGAACATAGGGGTTTACTATAGTAGTCTATGGGAAAATGTAAAAAAAAAAATTTCAAATGGTCACAACTTGAAAACTAATTTAAATAATGATAAGGAGTCTTCAGTAACTATTGTAAGACTACAATGGGATGACTTGATTTTTTTCCAAGGGGTGCAATTTTTTCACGGGGGGGGGGGGGGGGGGGGGGGGGAGTGCTAATAATTTCTCCTTGATATGTTCCATTTTCAGAATTATTCAGTGTTACTTTTTCTATAAACCATTATTATATCTTTTCTTTCAACATACTTATATTGGGTGAATGCCCCCCAGACCCGGCGGGTTAATAGGGGTCAGGGGAACCCCTGCCCAAATTTTTTTTGAAGGGTGTTTCATAAAAACATTTAAAGGCGTTTTCAGCATTATACAGGCCCTGGGTGAAATAAATTTTGGAGCGGAGGAAAGGACAGTTTTTATTTTTTGTTAATTATCTTGAATATCATTATAGATTGAGATATACTGTAAACAGCAAAAAATATCAAGCAAAGAAAGATCTACAAATAAGTTAACATGACCAATTCGCAATCGAAATATTATAAGAGTTATTGTCCTTTAAAGTTATTTTCTGCAATTTATTGGTAATTTTTGTAAATCTTTTCACAAATCTTCTGCTTTTAATTTAACTACTAGGCCAAATTAAACCAAACTTGGTCTCAATCATTATTAGGGTATCTATATGATTTTAACCTTATTTTACGTGATTTCCAAAACCACAGTAGATACAGGTGAGCGACACAGGCTCTTGAGAGCCTCTAGTTATCTTTTACTGTTGGTTTAACATTACATGGGGTATGGGCTCACATTCCCTGTTTAGGTAACCAATCAAATTGCAGGATTAACCGCGATATTTCACTCCAGTATAATATAGTCAATTATCATAAATTGCTCAAAAAGTTTACCATATGTTATCAAGCATATAGAGATCCATTGTGGGTGTATGATTCTAATTGATTAGATTTCTTTAAAAGTAATATTTCTACTCCAGTTTTTGACCGTTATGTTGCTTATCAAGATTACAAATGTAAGCATTGTCTTTTAAATCTGTCTCCTCGGCTTAAAAGTCATATTGATAAAGGATATTATTATGCTGATGTTGTTGCTCAATCGTTGCTTTGTTTGGGAAACTATCAGTTTGCTATATATAGTATAGCTGACTATGCGGTATAGGTTTTGCTCATTGTTTAGGGCCGTACGGTGACCTATATTTGTTAACTTCTATGTAATGTGGTCTCTGGTGAATGTTGTCTCATTGGTAATTATACCACATCTTCTTATTTTTATATTTGAAGCAATACTAAAATATCATTTTTAGCTTTTCTGTATTATATATAAAAGTAAGAAAATGTGGTATGATTGCCAATAAGACAACTCTCCACAACAAGCCCATACCGCAAAGTCAGCTATAAAAGGCCCCGAAATGACAAATGTAAAATATTTCAAACGAGAAAACTAACGGACTAATTTATGTACAAAATAATGAACGAAAAACAAATGTTACACAGCAACAAACGACAACCACTGAATTACAGGCTCCTGACTTAGGACAGGCACATCCATAATTTTGCGGGGTTAAACTAGTTTGTTGGCGCCGAACCCTCCCTCTAACCCGGGACAGTGGCGTAATAGTAGAACAAAAGAACAAACTATAAAAATCAGTTAAAAAAGGCTTAACTCATCAGATGGATTCAAATAGAAATACATCTAACAACACACAGAGTGGACGTGGCATGGTACTTATATGTTCCCACAACGAAAAGACACTAAGTACAGATCTGAGAGTTCTTGCAGTTACTGTTCAAAGCCAATAACAACTAATAAAAGAAATCATGCATCTAAGACTAAAATACTGTAGTTTGTTTTGGGCATGCGACGTCCACAAAAAGTCAACTTTTAAAAATAAGCTATAAAAGTATGTTACAGGTATCCATTTCTTAAAAATGAATAGTAAGCATGGACTATTGTCAAATTGTTTTAACTATTTGAAGAAATAAAACTAAACATCAGTTATTCGTTTTTTACAGACGGGAGCAAGTATGCAATTTGGGTACTCCTTATTACAAACTCATGGATCGTTTGGAGGTCGATTCAAACCCATTTTTCTATGATTCAATATGGAAGCAAAATTAAATCGGTTTAACTATATAATAAATAAGGATACATCTACAAAATAAACATAGAATGGAAACTTTTGTCTGAATCATAAATAAACGTAGGTGAAAAAACTGTTAAAATAGGTGCAATTTGGTTACCCTAACGTTAAATACTTTATCTGTTGATATATATACTGTGAACGTTTTGTGTATATTTAAATATAATTAGCTATGTTGAAAGACGTGCATAATGTCAAATAATAAAAATACAAATTGTTCATTCCTTAAGAAGACTTGTAAGACTTCGGCTGCTATGTTTTGCTAAATCGGTGCAATTTGACTACTCAGTGCAATTTGGGTACTGTGACGTTAAATGGCGCATAGCTAAGAGGGTTAACCGAGGCAAAGCAAAGGTTTTCAATGTTTTTTCGAGGGGTAACAATCTTCTCTTTTACTCTCTCAGCAATGTGTTATTCAATTTGTTATACTGAATGGTCTGTCAATATTATCTTAAAATTGTATATTGAAAGTAATTAAATATGAAATCATGCACTTAACAACGTTATAGTTATTTAAAAAACAACTAAAGTGAAGCACTTTTTTTATAAATTGACAGTCTATGAAAAAGGTCTGAGCCCGAAACGAAGAACTTGAGCATTGCCTTTAAAATCTATATAAAGATTATTGATTGGTCTGCACGAGAGGGTAACATTTAAAATTCGTCTCTCGCTGAGGCATGAGTTTATTGTCTCCCTCGTATGATCCAATAAAAATCTAGCATTTTAACGTAAAGGATAATAATTAATAGCCTCGATTGACAATGTTTTCTCTGGGTAACAATCAGCTCTATCACCCTCTCAGCTATGTGTTATCTATTATATTGTTTTAAAGCAATGGTGATTGGATTTAATGTTTGATAGGAAACAGTAAAAGCGATATTATGTTTGCAATTTAGTAGTTCATGCTTTGGTAGTGACATGATTTAGAACATACAGTTCTAAAATTATCTATTGATGAATAAAGAAATCATACATACAAACTAACTTAAAGTTTCCAAATCACTCGAACAAAGTTGATCTTAGAATTTGGATATTCCTTTTAGGTCCTTTTTGGTCATATATAGTTCCTAACGTGGCTACGCATTTTTACTTTCCATGCGATGAATAGCTGAGGTTTAAGACTACCCGATGAAGGTAAAACCAGAAAAGCGCTTCGGACGCAAGGAATTTATAAAGTGTTAATTTCATTCACAACAGTTCACAATAATGTTCTACATAACTATGACGATTATTTTCTCTGGATATTTACCTAGCAAGGAAAATGAAAACAGTTGACCTGAGAATTGGCTACACATGAACTATTGATGTCATACAATAATCACTTTTCCTCAGTGTCGTCAGACATTTTATATAGTGACGTAAACATTTTACGGGAACCTTTGTGATGTCCAGTAATGGCGGACAAATAGGGAGCTGTTGTCTGTTCTATGGTCGGGTTGTTGTCTCTTTGACACATTCCCCATTTCCATTCTCAATTTTATAAGGTGTATATAAATAACTTGACTAATATTGATGATAAAGGCAAACACAAACCTTGAGCTACAGGCCCGAAACCTCCTTCTTCTGCTTCATCTAAGTAGCTTACCTGGGGAAAAAATCGACTTACAGTGTGTTTTCATAATTAACCCTATCTGGAAAAAATATGAAACACTAGGAATACCGGTAGACCAGATACATGTACGATACGATACAGATACGAGGAAAACTGGTAAACAGGTATTAAAGACAACATACTGTAGAATCCTACTAAAAATTGGAAGTGAGTGTGGATGAAGCAGAACTGTTAGCAATATCCACTGTCTTCATAGTTATATAACTGGTAAATCTACGCTTTTTATGATAAAAGAAGTGCTTTTTATGCAGTAAAATAAGTATGATGGTACCAAAAAAGGCAAACTTCCAGTAATAAATTATTATAACGTATTTACCAGAGTCAAACATCTCTGTACATGTAGGTATAAAAGAATGATTAAGTTCGGTGTTTCCGCTCATATATACATGAATTGAATTAATTAATCTTACTATCAGACTTTGGCTTGATATAAATATGAAGATGTGATCCTTAAATTACTAAATATGACATATCTTCATCTTAACTCCAAAATAAGACAACTTATAGTACCATAAGTAACGAATACTTGTGTTAATGTTCATGCAAATTCAACCAAAAAATTCACAAAATCTGACTTGCCTCGGTGATCGCGTGGTAGCCTCAAGTGCAGGGAATCGTGGGTTTGATACCCCACCAGGCAAAACCAATTTAAAACCATGAAATCTGTATGTTCTGCTTCTCCACTGTGCAACCGACATTTAGAAGTAAGATCAAGGACTGTTTGGTTCGAAGTCAACTCATGTGTTCGGGTAATGTGACATTGTGAACTAGCACGTAGGAATCCGGCTAAGCGGGTCGGTTTGGTAAAGAAAGCAGGGTGCATATTCACATTTTAAACATGTCGCGGTTTGCATGCAATATTTGCCATCGAACGTTAAACACCAAATCATCATCATCATCATCATCATCATCATCATCATCATCATCATCATCATTTCAAATATTTAAGTTGATTGGTGTTAAATTGGCTTTCGTATCTTTGCAGTTTTATTTTAGATCTGTAATCGTTAAGTGCTGCTGACCGAAAATTATTCATACGATTAGTGCCAAATCGCTTACATCTAACTTCAAAAGAAGCAATGGCCAGTGAAAGTCCTGTTATTGTCATGAACACGTCAAATGCGTTTAGAAATTATTTGTACAAAATATTTGCAAAAAATCATAACTTGACAGTATGTATTACATGAACTTAAACTGGAAAAGCTTACTTGGGATTGTTTTTCATTTATAATCTTGAAAAACTTGATCCATTCTTCTCTTTCCTCTTTGCCCTGTGCTGCAAAAGAATGAAAATATCATAAAATCTAACAATTAAAGTTTACATGTGTTTGCATGTTCAGTTTTGCGCAATTCAACATAATATTTTTTTTCAAACCAGTACATGTACCTTTCAATTTGAGGGTTCGACCATTACTTGCGGTAACAACAAATCGAAGACCATCATCCTTCGTGGTTACTTCTGCAAGCTACAAATAAAGAAGATCATTATGGTACTCTATAGTTATCACTATTTGAAAAAAATATTTTAAAGTTTGTAAATCCTTATGAAGATTGATACACCTGATTAATTGATAATGAATGTTTTCACTCTTCAGTGGAGAGTAACTGGACGTTAAAGCAATCATTAAACCTTGATATTTTCATAAATCACATTCGATTATATCAATTAAAGAATGGCCCACTCAAGCATGAGCATTTATTTCGTAGGTGAAGTATTGGAAGGAAAAAAAAAACTCTAGTACATACTCTTTTTCTAGTGGCAGTCTAATTTTTCTGCAATTCCCCCTCCCCCCGAATAACACAATTGTTTTATTGTGTATCTTCTCGTCTTTTTTGCATGACTTACTTGCCACTATGGGTCAAACAAACAAGCAACTATCAATCAATAGGTTTTAAAAGGACAAAGAAACCCCTTCAAGCTTTTTTTGTATACATACATGTTGCTGCAATTAATTGACCCTCTGGGGAACTTGCGTTAACCGTCTAGTTGAAGAGAGATTCATTATTTGTTTTCTTTCGTTTTTTTTTCCTTTATTTTCGGGTGTTATGTACAAAATGTAGCGTCTTCTGTTTTTTTTTGTACATTTTTTGTGGTTTCTGTCGTTTTTATTTAATCATGCATATTTATGTGTTTTTCATTTAGTCACACATTTAGAAATATCTGTCTTCCTTTATCTTCTTAAAAAACAAGCAAAAAAATACCTAAACTTACATTGATATTCATCGTCCATTTCGGACTTTGCTTTTTTTCGGCTGGGTTACTCTGAAAAAAAAACATATTCCGTATAAATAAAAAAGTGAACATAGAAAGTCAGATATATCACACAATACTGGTGAATGATAAGAGCGAACGAACGTGTTTCAAACATTAACAAAACGGGAACAGGTGTCTATATTTAAGATTACTAAGTTAATGCAATTCGGTATATGTTGTAACTTCATAGTAAGTAAATATCAAGAAAAAACGAAGTGCGTAAGATTACATAAAAAAAAACACTTCGTTCGTCCTCCTGTTAAGATACATATTATGAATAAAAAGGGGATGTTGTTTAAACTCAATGAGACACCAACCTAACAACACAATGTAATCAAAAGACAATCTTGAAAAAATTGTAGTTTGCATTTTCTTTTGTTTTACAGCAGCTCCAAAATATTCTTAACGGTGTCTTATAGCTTAATGAAATGACTATATACATTGTAGGTTGAACTGTTTTCGTGGACTTAACTTGTGTTTCCCCTTGATCTTTAGAAGTCACTTCAGTAAAGAAAAGGTCAAACAAACACATTCTAGTACTGAAACGGTTTTGTCATGCGAAATAAGATATATTTATAGTTAATGGGATATCTAACAACTAATTATATGGGGGAGTCATGACACTGTTTCCCTACTTCCGGATGAAATATGTGGTGCTCTTAAAGGGTAATGGCAATTCGGAATATAAATAGTTGAGGGTTGAAATTATGAATATTTTAATGATTAATGGTATGAAGGGGCGGTGAATGTCCCTCAGGGACAAAACCCATGGTGACCTACAATGGGTCACATTCAGGCATATTCTAAAGTTGCATTGAACAGGTCTTGGTGTTGGTTCATGTCTGTCATATCTGTAAATTGTTTTGTTATGAATTAGGCCGTTAGTTTTCTTAATTGAATTGTTTCGTATTTTTCATGTCGGGGCCTTTTATGGCTTACCATAAAATATCGGTTTTTCTCATGTTTGAAGGCCATACAGTTGCCTTTAATTGCTTATAATTGCTTACATCAACTTCATTTGAACTTCGGTGGATAGTTGTCTCATTTGGCAATCATACCACATCTCCTTATTTTTATATTGCCATGGTTAGCAAGAAAACATATAGGTTTAAGGTTTTAATATTCGGGTGCTCCATGATGATTAATTACTTTGTATATTTTTTATTCACCAATTTGATGTTCAACTTGAATTCTATATTCAGCGACAATGCGATTTATTTTCCGACTCTTTCTCCTTATATATTTTCTGGCTTACGGTGCCATCGCTGGATCTCTGCTCCCTAGTTACCAGATGCCACAGCTGACCAGATAGAAAGAATGAAGTTGATGAATTGCCTCTTTTTATGTTGTACGACCAAATAACTCAAAGCGAAAAAGCGATCAATAATTGACCATATTCGCGAGAACCAGCTAGAGTACAATAAATTCATAAAGGTCAAACTTTTAAAACCCATTGGTGTCTATTCTGATTCGGATTCGGATTAAAATCCAAAATTGTTTTTTGTCGTTCTCTTACGTTTTGTGACTTCCGCAGTAGGAACAAAATTACACAATGCAAAATATAAAACAGACATTTATTAAATATGTAATTGTGTCTAGCTTCTTGCACACGTCAATTGAAAACAATGTTAGATAGTTGTGTATATACTGCTACTATTTGAATGTACATTTTAAGACTTGACTATTTTATTAGTGTACATCATTCTTTTCATAATCCTATTGCAAATCCCAGTTCTGCAAACCGGATGTCTAACGCAAGTTTCACAAACCAATCGCAATATAAATTAAAGCACTCAGTTTCCTTTATAATCTGGATGCATTTATTTTATCTATCATATCTTCATATTTTGTTTCCTTCAATTATTTTTATACTCGTTTAATTATTGAAACTGTTTGTAATCATCGTTATATTCAAAGTCCACTTTCCGTGTGAAGTGAAACCCTGTGGTATCCAACTTGTAAGAAGGTTTTGTATATTTTTCTTGAAGAGTAACACACCAGCTTCATTGGGACCTCTTACACTTCAGTGTTTCTGTTGTTCCTTTGTTTCCCTCTTATAGTTGATGTTTTTCCCTAGGTTTTAGTTTGTAACCCGGATTTGTTTTCTCTCAATCGATTTATGACTTTTGAACAGCGGTATACTACTTTTGCCTTTATTTATATGCTGACAATTATTTTGGTCTCATAAAACATCTCAAATTTTTTAACGGATTTCCTGAAGTTACTTAAATCAATCCAAATATTCTACAGGAAAAACTTCTTTACTATCCGATCTACAAATGAACTTTGATTGTTAATATATAAAATGTCACTTGGTCTATAGCCTATCCATAGAGGGGCCGTGTCAAAGACGTAGATAACTACCTGTATAAATGATCCAACATTTTCGAGAAGTTCCGAGAATCTTAAGCTTGTTTCCGGAAATATCCGAATGGCCCATAGAAGCTACCAAAAACTCACCAATATATAGCAAAAGAGTTATGGCCCTGACAATTTCATATGTAAATTTCCATCTTATAATTGATGGAATCTTAAATTCTTCTGAATCAGATGTTTGTAATTATTAATACAGTCAAATCTATACCATGATAAATGATATATCATATATCATATCATTCCAAACATAATTATTATGCTTACTATATACATAGTCCTCCAATATTAATTCAGGTTCCGACATTAAATATATCAAAACATAACTTAAAAGCCAATCATCAGGCTTGGATAGTACTTTCAACAAAATTCAACATTTAAATCTATACAATACTCAAGCTAGCGATCATTTCTTGCGACCAATTCTAGTGAGCACAAAAGTTAACAACGAGAATCGACAAGTTAAACTTTCTGAAAAAGGTACGGAGGGTTTCGCAGTTTCAAAATAACGTCAGTTGTTTTGGGTTTTTTTTATTGGGGGAAAATTGTGGGTACAGACGTCCGGCTGGGGTTTAAAACTACCCTCCCCCACACCCCCGGGCCCCAATCATATACATAATGTACTGATTTATTTAAAAACGTTTTTCATATGAAAGTCATAACCTATCTATATATATACCTTGATATCGGACGTACAATTGACATCTATAAAGTTTGACCTTTATGAATTTATTGTACTCTAGCTGGTTCTCGCGAATATGGTCAATTATTGATCGCTTTTTCGCTTTGAGTTATTTGGTCGTACAACATAAAAAGAAGCAATTCATCAACTTCATTCTTTCTATCTGGTCAGCTATGGCATCTGGTAACTAGGGAGCAGAGATCCAGCGATGGCACCGTAAGCCAGAAAATATATAAGGAGAAAGAGTCGGAAAATAAATCGCATTGTCGCTGAATATAGAATTCAAGTTGAACATCAAATTGACGCATAAAAAATATAAGGCAAGAATTGTAGACACGAGAAGGCGAACAATACAATTATTTACATATATGTTCAAGGGCAATAACTTTAACATTTTTTGTGTGCTTTAGATTTATGAAGGCAAGAATTGTAGACACGAGAAGGCTAACAATGCAATATTTTTTGTGTGCTTTAGATTTATTAAGGCAAGAATTGTAGACACGAGAAGGCTAACAATGCAATTTTCCATATAATTGATATTTCCAAGGGGCATAAATAATTCTTTTAAAATGAGTTGATCTGCACCAAACTTCGATGTTGTCCGAGGAATTTCTTATATAAACCTATGATATAAGTTACATTAAATTCTGGCAAGAATTGACTTGTCAAGAATTGTACACACGAGAGCGCCAGCAGTGCGATATGCCGTAAAATCAATACTTCCAAGGAGCATAACTGTTATATAAATACATGTAGTTCATCGTCACTTATAATTTTTTTTATATGCAACAGGTTCAAAAAGTAGTGTATCTGACGAGTTCTGTGGTATTTTGGAATAAAATCTTCCAACAATTTGTGCACCTGGATAAGCTCATTCATATCTTTCATTTCTTAGAAACTTGTTCCAGTCAAAAATCCTAGATCCGCCCCTGGTGACTTCCGAGCTACAGTTCTACAAAGCCGGGGGTTTGCCAGTTAGTCAAGAATTTTCAGAAAACAGAACTATATATGATGAGAGTTTATGTTCATATTTATAGACAATATAGTATTGCTTCTATCTCAAGTTTATAATTAAAAACAGAATATGGACTTATCTTTTTGAGATATTGTCTCATGTGCATTTACCCAAATCCTTTAATTTTTTAATGTTTGTTTTTATTTTTAAGAACTGTTTGTGCAGTATTCTAATGATACAGAAGATAGCCATCTAAGATTATATAATTGGCCACAACTTCTACTATTTCTGCGGGCAGGGTGGGAATTCAGCTTTTATGTCACTTTTTGAATGAGAAGAAAATAATTGTTTGTCTGTGTAAAAATGATAAAAGATATGGCGGCATTCAAACTAGAAATTAGTAGTAGGTCATCTTCAAATTTTCCCGTCCCCCTTCACAGAATTATATGGTGGTACTAGTTAACCCATAGTCCCCTTTAAACAAATTATCTTCCGGGTACTTGAACGAATATATTTTTAGATCCTGACGCGGACGTGTTAGAGAACACCCTGTAAGTGTAAAGTGTTATATATATGTTAACCAAATTCATTTGTGGTTAATAGCTTTTTGTTTATATGAGTGAGTTTTCGTGAAGCAAATCATTTTTGAGAATAATAGTTTAGTTAAACACAAAGGACGTCAAAGATACCAAGCACAGTTTTGAAATGTAAGTATACCAAAATTTTCACAAGTGCATGACATGGTGATATTTTGCCGGCATCTTCAAAATATGATAAGGACTATAAGAGTTACGGTTCCGCAGCTGACATTTTTGTAACATCATGCATGATGCTTGATCCGGTGTGATGAATGAGGCGTTTATAGAATGTTACAGTTTGTATCAATGCTATCTTGATTGTATTTCATACATATTTTTTGGTGTTTTTAAGAAGATAATAACAGTATAAGATCGTATAATGATAAAGATATATACGCCGGGTCTATCACTATGGTAATTAAGCAAGTTGACCAGTAACATCTAACGACCACCTGACCACGTGTACTTAATATTTGAGAGTGAATATTAAGCCAGTAAGAGCAACCATTCACTACGATCACTTATATTTGAACTATGTATGCAATTACCTCTGAGAAAGTTTGGATTTGGGAAACTGTTGTGGTTATCTCTATTCTTAGACTTATAAACATAAACGAAATAAGATTTTTGAAAATAGCTTTCTGTAAGTTCTGCAAATATGGCGAAGGTAGCAATGATGTCAGAAGGATCAATATCAGCGATTGGCTAATTTGTTTTAATTTTTTATCAGAACTAAAAGAATTTGTTAGACCATACATGTTAGACTTCAAAGTACTATGATTTTATATGTCAACGTTAGCGGTTGGTTGATCGCACTGTCGAGTTTTTGTTAACGATATTAACAGATTTTTGTTAGACCGCACGGTCTCACGGTCTTACTTTATTGGTTATATAAGAAGGCTAATAAACCTAATATATTTCTTATATTAAAAGATAAAAGGTATAGGATGTCCATCGTCAGTTCGTCGTCGAATTTTTTTTTTTTAAACCTTCTCTGAAACTACTAAGACAAATGCTACCAAACTCAATCTAAATGTTCCTCGGGGTATCTAGTTGCATCTGGGGTTTTGATTCATCAACAAACATGACTTTTGTTACAAAAAAATAGAACATAGGGGTAAAATGCAGTTTTGGGCTTTTGGGCTCAAAATCTAAAGTAGTTAGAGCAAATCTGACATGGGGGTAAAACGGGTCAGCAGGTCAGGGTTTATCACCTGCGAAATTTCGGAAAAATTAGACAATCATTTTCGGAGCTGTTGGAATGTCATTTTTTTTTAAAAGTAATTTCAAAGATGTTGGCTTATAGTTGTTTGAAATGTTTTTGTGGTTGAGCTTTTGATTTTGTCATTTCATAAGGGACTTACCGTTTTTGAATTTTCCGTGGAGTTCGGTATTTTTCATATTTTACTTTTTATATCTCAAAAACTAAAGCAGTTAAAGCAAAATATGACATAAGTAGAATCGACAAGCAGGTCAATGTCTATTTCCTACCAATTTCTACCCATTTTGGAATTATTGCCCCTGAAGTGTCTTTATTATTTGGACAGATAGAGAGAAAAATTGTCCAGAACAGTAAGATCTACAAATAAGTCACCACGGACGAATTGTCAATTGAACCCCTATAGGAATTATTTCCCTTGAAAGACTACTTTTACTTATTTTTTGCAGAAACTATAATATGATAGTTAACGAGAAATTGTATGAAGCAAAAGTGTTCAGCAAAATAAGATCTACAAATAAGTCAACATGGACGAATAGTCAATTAAGGAGCTAATGCCCTTGAAGAACTAATTTTTCTCATTTTTACGGTTTTTTTCCACTGGTCGTTGTGCCAAAACAAACTATCAAATAATCATAAGACATGTCGGATGTTATCGGGCAAAGTCATCCCTGTATAGGCAGAAATTATGTCATTTCCTCCCTTCTATTCGGATGAAAACAAATCAAAGAACAAATACACATTCTTTCTATGAGCTTTTACCTTTAATTTCTGTCAAATATTTATGGCTAGATTTCCTTACAACTTGCGAAATGAACGATGCGGCTATGTTCGTTTGTTTGTTGCCCATCCGGTCATTGGTACTACCATGCAAGTATTTTATATATATATAAATATAATACTTCCATGGTAGAACTAATAGAACTTTCGTGTATCGGAGAAAGGCCGTATTGTATAGATTATCTTGATTTATCAATAAATCCATGCAGGTCAAGGTATACGGATACAATGACGTCAAAACTCACCAAAGATACAAATACAGAAGCTACTAAAAATGGCAAACAAGTTGAAACAAGGTCGACAATGTCAACAAAGATTGCAGTTATGTAAATTTATAATCTTACACTGCTTATACATAAATAGATTTTTATGTTAACATCTCAATCTCAATTTGTTCTCTCTAAAGTTATCAATAATTTAATATGTTGACATGGTTTCTACTTACATCAAATTGTTTTATGTTTCCATCGTCTGCTAGAACAAACCATTTTTCTTGGTATCCTGTAAAGAAGGATATCTTTCTCTTTAATGTCCCTTCCATTGGGTGTTTGTCTTATACAACTGTTAAACCTGAAGACAGAACACATATATCTTTGATGCAGTGATCTAACATTTTTTGTTAAAACGTGGCATCTCTCCTCACGTTATCTTTAAATTTATATGTGTATAACTTGTACAATCGACGTAAGTTCAAAAAATGTTTTAAAATTTATGAGAGAGAGAGAGAGAGCGCGCGAATAGCGCACTCAAACATGATTAACCCCGTTAAATTGTTTCTGTGCCTGTCCCAAGTCGGAGCCTGTTTTTCATTTATTTGTCTTAGCATAAAACAGGCTTTTGGTTTTCTATTTGAATTGTTTTATAATTTGCATTACTGGTGCATGAGTTTCGCCGATCGTTGAAGGCCGGACGGGTCTGCAGTTTGCATACATCCTCGTTCTTTGGTGTCTGTAGGATATGGAGTTGTCTTTAATGCAATCATACAACACGCCTTATTGCCTTATTTCAGTCCCTTTTGTAGCATTAAAATATTATTTTGCTTTTTGTTCAGTTAGTCGAGTATACAAGTTCTGAGTTTTATGGGTTTGTAGTTAACAATCCTCTATTCTGTAAGGGTTCATCTGATTGTTTTGTTTTGATTTTTTATTACTATTCAATAATAACCTTACGCTGTTCTTTCGTGTTTGAAGTATACTTTTAAATTGTATTGATTTTCTGACTTGAAACCGAAACAAAACATACTAGACTTTTTTGTTTAATTTTGTTGAAAGACCTTACCACGCTTTGCCTAAACAACCGACCGATATATATTTTCCATTCTACTTAAAACTATTGAAAAGATCTTTTCCAGTGCAACTTACATATCAGCAAATGTTTTTCCTTGTAATGAATGCACTATTTTTTACGGAGACGTAATTAATGACATAATAAATGTTTAATAAAAATAAACTATTAAAATTCAAAATTTCAACTTTACACTCGAAATTCCGAATTTATAAGTTTCTAAATTGTGACTTTGAAAAACTCAAGATTTCTACTTTTTAGCTCACCTGGCCCAAAAGGGCCAAGTGAGCTTTTCTCAACACTTGGCGTCCGTCGTCGTCGCCCGTTGTCGTCCGTTAACTTTTACAAAAATCTTCTCTGAAACAACTGGGCCAAATAAAACCAAACTTGGCCTAAATCATCCTTATGGTATCTTGTTTAAAAAATGTATCTGAAGACCCCGCCCATCAACCAAGATGGCCGCCATGGCTAAAAATAGAACATGGGGGTAAAATGCAGTTTTTGGCTTATATCTCTGAAACTAAAGCATTTAGAGCAAATCTGACAAGGAATAGAAATGTTCATCAGGTCAAGATATATCTGCCCTGAAATTTTCAGACGCATCAGATAACCCGTTGTTGGGTTGCTGCCCCTAAATTGGTAATTTTAAGGAAATGTTGCAGTTTTTGGTTATTATCTTGAATATTATAATAGATAGAGATAAAATGTAAGCAGCAAAATTGTTCAGCAAAGTAAGATCTACAAATAAGTCAGCATGACCAAAATTGTCAATTGACCCCATAAGGAGTAATTGCCCTTTAAATTCAATTTTTCATAATTTTTCGTGAATTTTTGTAATCTTTTACAAAAATCTCCATCTGAAACTACTGGGCATAAAATAAACCTTATAACTTATCCCTGTATAGGCAATAAAACTTAGCCTAAATCATACTTAGGGTATCTTGTTTAAAAAATGTATCCAATGATCCCACCCATCAACCAAGATGGCCGCCATGGCTAAAAATAGAACATGAGGAGTAAAATGCAGTTTGGCTTATATCTCTGAAACTAAAGCATTTAGAGCAAATCTGCTAGGGATAAAAATGTTCATCAGGTCAAGATCTATCTGACCTGAAATTTTCAGACGCATCAGACAACCCGTTGTTGGGTTACTGCTCCTGAATTGATAATTGTAAGGAAATTTTGCAGTCTTTGGTTATTATCTTAAATATTATAATAGATAGAGATAAACTGTAAACAGCAAAAATGGTAGGCAAAGTAAGCGCTACAAATAAGTCAGCATGATTAAAATTGTCAATTGACTCCTTAAAGAGTTATTGCCCTTTAAAGTCAATTTTTCACAATTTTTCGCAACTTTTTGTTATCTTTTACTCTCCACATAATCTACTGGACCAAATGAAATTAAACTACGCCACAACTTTCAATAGGGTATCTTGATTGAAAAATGTATCCGATAACCCTGTCATCCAACCAACATGGCCGTCATGGCTAATAATAGAACATAGGGAAAATTGTAAAAAAAAACAATTTCAAATGGTCACAACTTGAAAATTAATTTGAATAATGATAAGGGGTCTTCAGTAACTATTGTAATGCTACAATGGGATGACCTGCTTTAAATTTAACTACTGGGCCGAATTAAACCAAACTTGGCTTCAATCATTATTTTGGTATCTAATACTATTTATTGTGATTTTAACCTTATTTTACATGATTTCCAAAACCACAGTAGATACAGGTGAGCGACACAGGCTCTTGAGAGCCTCTAGTTAAATCTCAAAATGTAGACGTTCAACTCGAAATTTCGACTACCAAATCTCGAAATTATACTTTAAAAAGATAACTTAACACTCGACTTTCTTTTAATCTCAAAATGTTTACTTTAAACTCCAAATTTCGAACGTTTAAATCCCAAAATCTCGACTTTAAACTCCAAATTTCGAATTTTCAAATTCCAAAATTTCGACGAAACACTCTAAATTTCAAAAACTCGAAAGTTTGACTTTTAAAAAATCCAAATTTCTAATTTCATTTTCCTCAGTTTTGAAACGTTCGCAATTGTCACATTCACAGTTACTCATAAGAGCAAACGAAGACAAATATATACGTCAAAGTAAATTTGTATAATTAGGGATTATGTATAAAATGCTAACCCTAAATTACAATATGCTCAGTTGAATCTGCGTGATGATGGTTGCAATGAAAAGTGCTTTAGTTGTGATAGTATGATTAGTCACGTTATCCCTGGCTTAGTATATTTCTTGGATTTTGATTGGTTAACGCGGGTCGTTAAAAATACCCATAGCCCCGGGTGTTACAAATCCATATACCCGGACGTTGCTACCAATTACCCCGGGGAACTTCACGCGCGTTTTCTTTAGTTCCATGGTTGTTCCCAGTAAAAAATTGAATTGTGTAGATTATTTTACTTTTACTCGAAATTTTAACTTTTCAAATCTTGAAATTTTGACTTTAATTAACTTGAAATTTCGATTTTTGAAAGTCGCAACTTTGACTTTTTAAGTCTCGAAATTTAGATATTATTAATAAACTCAAAATTTCCACTTTTAAAATCTGCAAATTTCCGCTCTTAAAATCTTAGAATCTCTTACTATCAAAATCTTGAAATTTTGCATTTCGAAATTTGCAATTTTCTACTTTTAAAGTATTTAAACTTTGACAATAGTATTCATACACAGTAATTAAAATTACAGAAGGAGGAGACGTGGACGCAAAATACTAAAGCGTCATTTCAACATGTTGGCAATTCATATTAATAAGTTGTTTTTGTTCTTGAATTATGATATGCATTAGCATTTAACATTGAAGAGTTTTATTTCGGAGAGAACATGCATGTTGACAGACATGCAACCATCATCATCACAGATCGACCGATTTAGGATTAATTAATAAGTTACAGCTTGATGAATTCAAAAGTAATCGGCGCACAAAAATGTTAGTATTTTTTACAGTCATAGATCCTGAAGGATTGGAAACATTATATTACTTAACTTATTGTGACATGTTGCTCTCTATGAGACCCTTGGTCAACAAAAAAGGATCTGCAATGACCAAAGGCAAATGATATGGCTCTAGGCATATCTGAGCAAGCAAATTCACTGACTTGATTTCAGTTTTTCTCAATTTCTGTCATAAAATCTTTGAAAATAAATCCTTTGATCTAAATGTTTTTTGGGGTTTCAAAAACAAGAACTTTTTACTTCACCTGTATTTCCCCATATTGCATTTTTAGTTTTCACCACACTATCATAGGATCGTCAGATCTGAGGGCACTTTGCATCCCATGTTTTATGGTTGGTTAAAATGACTGATTGGTTTCCCAAAAGCAAGTCACTCACTGACTTTGCCTTGTCTATACAATGGTAAATCAAGTGTCAAATATGTCATGTATATTCAGGACGACTCATGGGCTGTTCAGTTTTTGTAGTTTTTGAAGGTTGAAATTTTGATTCTTGTTTCATTAGAAAAAACTGACAGTTGATCACTAGTATTTTGTTATAAGATTTCGTGCATTTTAGTTGTCTCCCATTTCATCTTACAATGTCTATTTCAATTATTGATAATAGGAAATTAATTGTATTGACATCAAATGAAAGTATTGTCAAGAAAACTTGACCGAGTGTACCTTTTAGCCTTGCTTAAAGGGGCACTAGCTACGAGATATATAAACTTTGAAATTTAAATCCTAATATTTTTTTTTGCTTAATCATTAATGAAAGTGAAATAGTGAAATTATAATTCGCTTTAAGCAGCCAGTATGGTTCAATTTTGTCAAAATAAGCTAAGAAACATCGATGGTGAATTATTCACTTGCAAGTGAATAATTCGACCTCATTGAATCCGTATTCATGTGAACTTCAATCTAACCCCTTAGCTAGAGATGGATTACGCATGATTTATGCGTGTTCAGTTATTAAAATATTAAAAGAAAAGAATGTCAACATTGAAAGTGAAACAAAGGTAAATCATTTGATTGACTGATTCGATCTTATACAGGTAAAACCGAAAATTAACTTATTTTTTTAACCTATAATATGAAATCAAACAGACATAGAAAATCCAATTGCACGAGGTCGCTATCTATTTATATTTATGTTTATGTTAATATCGTGTTATGTGACCGTCGGTAGTTTTCGGATGTCTTCTGCTTCAGATACAATTTAATCATATATATCTAGAATTCATAAATTTTAAAAATCACACAATGTTATATAAATCAGCTTTTCTTAAATTGAAAATTTTTATTAATGAAAAAACTAATCAAT